AGAGACTGGGAGAAAAAGAGAGGGGGGGGTGTCCGGATCAAACGCAGATTCCCTCACTATGTAAAAACTGTTTCTGGCTATAAAAATGAACAGCATTACAAAAAACGGGCTTGCGCTGAGTTCATAGTCAATATTCTTAATCGTAGAAGATATTATATTCGCCCTTTAAACAGCTTTGAGTCGGTCGAGACATCAGATCAGAACTTCAATGTTTTTGAAAGTTTGTTCTTTTTTAACTGTATTGAGTGATCTCTTGTGGGTAAATTTAGGCTACAGAAGGGGGTTGGTGTTTTCTGAAATGTTACGTCGATTCTATACATTGCTGCTGGAAACTTGTACCGTGGAAAGAAACTTAGAAAAAAAAGTACGGCAAGGCTTATCTCAATAACATGTGCGTGTCCTCAGGAAAGTTCATCATGATGTTTGAACTATGAATACTATCATGTTGTTATTATTGTTTGTTTTTGTTGGGGTTTTGTTTTTTGTTTTTTCCCTCTTTGCCAAACTGTGAAACAATCTTATGAATGGAAATACTTGTTCTAAAATAGCAACCGTTATTGGCCCACAGTTACTCTTACTTCCTCTCTGTTCCGTTTCCAACATATTATAATTATGGTCACTTTTGAGGATAAGCGGGCTAACCCAGATTTCGGGGGTTTCCAGAAATCTTGACCTACACCAAAAGTGGCCATTGCCCTACCTGAAGGAGAAGTTTTGTTTCATTGTTTGTTTATTTGTTTGGTTATAGAGAAAACTCCCATTGTCTTTTAAAGAAACTGAACGAGGGGCAAAAACTTTACCTTCGATTTTCTCAAAACAGCCTTTTTTGGGATAGCGCCCTTTTGCTTAAAAGTGACCATATTATTATGCTCACTGTTGTTTTCTTGAAATGATGATCCAATGGTTAGTACCATTTTGTTGTGAAGCATCATCATACAGCCTTTCTGTTTTAGCGGAGACTTACTCGACTACCTACTCATATGCTCGTTGACAATCTTCATTTTTTGCTGATATTGGCAATCTTTTGACAAATATAATGTAACATTCTTTTGTGGATTCTTATGTTCCTCTTATCATACAACTGAGAAACACGAATGCCAGACTCAATAGGGTTATGTATCAATTATCTTTCAATTTTGAATACTACAGCATCTCGTTGCAGGACATTTTGAATATTTTCACTCATTCTTGTTGACAAATATTTTTGTGTGGATATTCTCACTGTGGGTGATTGGCAGGTGTTCTTGTGTAGTTTGCTCCTTCTTTTCTATCGAACATCTTTGGTTCTTATGCCTTCTACCTCTTTTATTATATTTTTTGGTCTATCACTCGTTTGTAATACCTCTAATCTTCGTTGCCTGTATGACCTAATTGTGTTGCAAGTGCCATTAAATGAGTATTAAAACCACACAAAACGTATTTTCATTCGAACTTGTCATCTTTGTGTCTGTCCTGCAGAGCTAGAGTATGTGGTGCGTATCTTCACTGGAGACATTCGGTGGGCCGGCACGGATGCCAATGTGTTTGTCAACATCTATGGGGAAAAGGGTGACACTGGAGAGAGACAGATGAAGGATTCAGAGACAAACAGTAACAAATTTGAACGTGCTCAGGTGAGTTTTGATAGAAAAGGAATGATGGGATATATTCGCTTTATTATACCATCCTTTGAAAGATTCTAATGGTATGTTTTCCTTGGCTTCTGCGACACCAAAAATGAAAACGTCTCCCCATGTCAACCAAATGACAGGTCAGTTTTTGTTATTTTTGATAGAATGCAAATTTACTATCATTTTGGAATCTGTAGTGGAATCAGTAGGCCTATAAGATCTTTCTCTTGCCTATGAAAGATGTATAGTTTATAAAAATGGGATTGGGGGGGAGGGGGGAGGGGAATTTATTGAATACATCTGTTTTTTTATTTTTTTATATACATGCATTGGACAGACCATTTTCACCTTGACTGCAGAGCAGAAGTATCCTTGCTTCCTTGATGTTTTCAGTTTTGTGAATGGGGCATGAAACATTTAGAAATATTTGTATTCTGTGAGTAGAGCGTATAATGTTTATGATGTCAGAAATTGTGTGTTTTATGAGTGAAGCATGAAACATTTTCAATGGTGTGACCGGGACGTAAGACATTATGATGACAGCTACATTTGCTGATTTCAATGTGTTATTTATGTCACGACGTGGTGGAATCAGGCTCTCGTCAATTTTTGGGCATATGGGGTTATTGGTATCATCTTAAAGCCTGTTCATTTGCCTTCCTTTTGGTGAAAAAAATATTCATTCATCTATGTTGAATAGAAGTCGAAATATTTGCAGTTGAAAGATGTCAGGATCCCCTGGTTTCAGAGGTAAAATTAGCAAGAAAAGGGCCGCCATAGTTTGGTAACTTCCATAGCTTGAGAGTCCTAGGAAAGTGAAAATTTTCACTTTCGTGCATTGAATCAACGTTTTTCAATTAAACCCACACAAAAATGTGTTTTTAAATGGACATGAACGGTGTTAAGCCCCCCCCCCCCCCCCAAAATTTTTTTATTGCCCATCAGCCAAAAAAATGTCGATTTCTATGATTTCATTATTTTGACGAGCGCCTGATTTCTCAACGATGCCTCTCATTTGTATTTACAGGAGGATGTGTTCCGAATCAAAGCTATTGACCTTGGGAAACTGACCAAACTCAACATCAGACATGATAACAAAGGTGGAGGGGCCGACTGGTTCTTAGACAGGGTCGAAGTGGAAGATGGCAAAGGGAAAACAGGGTGAGAGCAATGTTTTAAAAAAGATATCTGGGCTATTCCATGGTAACTGACGGGACGTTTGGACTAGATCTGTAATTTCTTACAGTGATAACACTATCATTCAAAATCAGTTAATTTATTTCAACTTTAAATGATCAGTACATTTGAAAAACATATTAAGAATCATATTAAATGAAGTCTTTTGAAATAAAGCGCTTTATGCAAAATATGTGATGTATTTAGTTTCGATAACTGACAGGACAGAAAAAATACCTCCTTTGTCCCGTCAGTTACCAGAACTGAACACGTCAGAGAATTTTTTAAAGCACCTTTTTTTTCAAATGACTGCACTTGATATTGCCATATAATGGAAGGACTGTTTTTATAGCTTTATTTTCAGACCAGAGTCATGTAACAGAAATATTTGTTCTGTTTTCATTACACAGATTTCCCCACTTCTTTTGATAAAGATGGAGTCCTTCACTTTTGAAACTCTAAGATCTATTTGCCTAACATCTTTCAACATATTTACTGACCAGATCTAGAGCCATTTCAAAAGATGTCTTCTCTGTAAATATTTTATTTGGGCAATAGTATTTTTTATGTATGAAAAGAGGGGAAAAGTTTATAGTGTTATGGTATGACATTGTTTGCTGGATTTCTATGTGAAAAAAACCACCCTTTCTTTTTTTACTGTCAACAGCTACTTTTTCCCCTGTCAACGATGGCTTGCAGTGTCCAGGGATGATGGTCAATTGACCAGGGAATTGGTACCAGTAGACCAGGCCCTTAAGAAGCGACTGACCAAGAGAGATTCCACTACAGCTATCAAGGATGAGATTGGGCTGGAGACTAAAGGTTTGTTAGTAGTCTGTGAGGAATATAGGGGAGATGATGTGTCTGAGGATTTTTTTGATCTAGTCGTAAGAAAATAAATAGCCTTTTTGGCCTGCTAAACTGCCTCCAGTTTCCCTTTTTCTATGGACAATGGAAATTCACATTGATGCATTGTTGAAAATATCGCTTCAGTTCATTCTAGCATAATGATATCCTTTCCCTGAGGATAATGTGCAAGAGTTATATGTTTCATGATATGATGTGGAGGAATCGGGTGCTTATCAATTTTTGGATTTATAGAGTTATTAGTATCTTCTTATAGTCTGTTCAGTTGCCTTGCATTTGATGAAAAGAATACCCATAAATCTCTAATAGAACTCGAAATATTTGTGATTGAAGGAGGTGGCGGTCATCTGGTTTTGAAGGTAAAATTAGAGAGAAAATGGCCTTCAAAGTTTGGTGACTTCCAAATCTGTTGCGTTCTGGGAAACTGTAAATTTACATTACCATACCTTTGGTTATTAATGTTTTTCAGTAAAATCTATCAGGAATGTGTTTTTAAATGGTGTCAAACCCGAAACAACAAATTCAATAAAAATTGTCCAATGGTCAGATTCAATTTCATTATTTCGACAAGCGCTGGATTTCACCATGATGCCTCACATTTGTCTTTTTCAAGTGGTATCAAATTGACATAGTTTAAGGAAGATTAGCAAGTTGAAATGTATCTGCAACTGATTGTTGTTGTTTTTTTAATGATGTTGTGCAAAAGCTCAGATGAGATATAAAAGAGGAAAATATGGAAATGTCCTTTAAAAGTCTTTAGATCAAATTTCTAAATATGGGTCTTCTAAATCCTGCCAAAAAATGATAGATGTAAGGAATGTTTTTGAAGTGCTCAGAAACTGGCTTCTTAGAGGAGTTACCAGTCTTTGAAATTGATTTAATTAAGGAAAATTAGTTGATGTGATAAAAAGTGTTATATATTTTTAATTTAGTTGTGTAAGAGGAATTGTTGGGTAGAGCTGGAGAACATAAGAACAATGTATTCTGGAGTACCTTTTAAAAGAAACATTGATAAAAAACAAATTTTCCACCTCTCAAGTGTATATATATTTGTTTCTACCTTTCATTTCAGCTGCCATGACAACGTACCATGTCCAGGTTTTCACTGGAGATGTGTGGGGAGCAGGGACAGATGCAAATGTCTACGTCATACTCTTCGGAGATAACGACCATACAAGTAAGTGTGTAGATTTGACTGCCTTTAGAGAGAATAACTTAGCTCAAGTATGTTGATTTGCTTGCCTTGAGAGAGAATGACGGCAAAAATAAGCATGTTGATTTGATTACCACCTGACAGAATGACTGCACAAGTGTGCTGATTTGACTTCTTATGGAGAAAATGACCATACACCCATACAGTAAATGTGTTGACTTGACTGGACAGAATGACCACACAAGTGAGTGTGTTGATTTGATTGTTTTCAGATAGACTGACCCCACAAGTGAATGTGTTGATTTTTATTACTTCAATAGAGAATTATCACACAGGTAAATTAATTGATTTGATTACTTTTGGAGAGACTGACCACACAAGTAGATGTGTTGATTTGATTACCTTTGGAGAGAATTATCACTTTAGTAAATGTATTGATTTGATAACCTTAAAAGAGAATAACCATTCTAGTAAGTATGTTGACTTGATTACTTTGATAAGTATATTCGAGGGTTATTTTGGAGTCTGGTTGGTTTTTTTTGTCAACAGGTAAAATGTTCCTGAAATCGTCCATGACGAACAAAAACAAATTTGAAAGAAATCAGATGGATGAGTTTTTGTTGGAGCTTGTGAACATTGGGGAGCTGAAAAAGATCAAGTGAGAGATATTGAATTGTATTCTTATGTTCTTTTGTTTCTGTGTAGAATTGAAGGAGCTGGTTATTTTTCTTTAGTTTTTTTTTTAATTGTTTTCTTTTCTAGAGGGAGGGGGTTTGAGGTTTTTTTAGGTAGCAAAAAAAGAAAATACTCCTTTTTTTGTCCTATCAAAATATTTGACGTACAAGGGCTTACTGATCGAACAATGAATCACATTGCATGTACAAAAAGAACAACAAATTAATAAACTTGTGCTCTCAGACAGGCCCTATTGCTGGCCATCTTTTTGCAGTGTCAATTTATTTTTCCTGTAGAACTAATTTAAGGGATTTTTCTCAAGGAGGCTTCCTGGTGACCACTTATGTGAAAGTCATCGCTACTTGACTTTTCTTTCCTTTCTTTCTGTGGCTGAGTTCACTCCTGGCTCACCCAACAAGGCCCTTGATTAGCCTACAACTGCAGTGTCAAAAGTAGTGATATTTTGTTCTCACCGTGAGACGCTCATGCTGGTCGTATTCCACATCATCTGGAGTAAATCTGACAAAAGTAGGATTGACAAAAAAAAACCTTCTCTGAAAGGATGGAGATAACTTGACATGCGAGGTTGAGACAGCTTATTTCTAAAGAGTGAAAATAATGTCAGTTGCTGCTTAAAACATAATTCTCAGTCAAATTAATGTATATTGAGTCTCTGTAGAGAGAGTAGAAGATCTTATTTTAAATGTTTTTCACTTTGCACATCGTTTTCTCACTTCACCGAGGTGGGAATGGGTATCCGGCTATAGATAGTGAAAGATTTTGTCATTTTTTAGAAAAGTGTTTTGAGTGCTTAATCAGTTGCTCGTACTATATGCTTCTCAGGAAGCCAGGAATATTTTCGAGTGTTTTAGGGTCTTCTGTAAATTGTAAAGTGAATAGAGCCTACTGTTGAGGGGAGATATGCACAATATAATAAATCATCAGTTTTACAAGCGATCCGCTTAAGTCCGTTTGGGTACGTTTTACGTTAGAAACAAAAGACTAGTTTTTGTTTCGTTGTTCCTATCAGGAATCATGGAAAGCAAGAAAATTGTAAGCTTTTACCTTAGCATTAAACTGCATTTTGGTGGTTGTACAAAAGCTGCATCTTTAATAGTAATAGAGCTTTGAATTAGTGAAACATCGAAAATTCTCAAAATTTGGACTGAGGTGGATTGCTTGCGACAGCAACGAAAAGTTATTTATCATAATTATATTCTCTCAGGATTGGCCATGACAACAAAGGAGGTGGTGGTGCCTGGTTCCTGGACAAGGTGGTGATTGATGCACCCTCGCTGGGCAAGACCTGGGTCTTCCAGTGCGGTCACTGGCTCTCAGACAGTGATGAGGACCGGCTGCTAGAGAGGGAGCTCTTCCCACAGGAGCTGGCCACGGAAGAATATGTGCCTTGTCAGTATTCTTTAGTAATAACGTAGACAACAACAAAATTGGTAGCTACTTCGCTAATAGCTGCTGAAACAGTCAGGAAAATGTGACTGGAAATGCTGAACACTGATTATTTCTGCTATTAGGTGTCACATTTTTGGGGGAGGGAGGGGGGGTATGTCATATTCAAAATTACATAATGCTGATGCTTCTGTTTCTCCTAAAACATCATATTTCTGCTGGTCATGGTTGTATAAGCTTCTGAAAATTTAAAAATCTTGGTTTTACGAAAGTATCATTCCTTCATGGCAATACAGGAAATTCTAGTTGTATTGTTGACAAATGCAGGAACTGTAAAAAAGTATATACCATATCAATATTTTGTTTTCTGGGTATTCAGGAAGCACTGGCTTTATAGTTTCTGGTAATGTTGCTAGAAAGTATGAAAGCACGGGCCCTAGATTGGGATAATTTTCAAGATGCAATCTGAGGTGTGAATTCCAGCAGGATTTAATTAATTATGGAGAAGGAGAAAATGTTTTCTGTTTTACAATGCTTGTGTTTCAGTAGAATGTGATGTTTAAGACATTTAGACAATCAAACCAAACACACTCAAATTTTGAACTTCAGCTGAAAGCAGATATTTGGTGCTAAGAAGAGAACTGTGGAAAAAATCAGTTTTAAAGCACTACTTTTTGAAGATTGAATGTTTTAGTCCTCTACAGCATCTGTGTTATCTTTTAACAAGTTTTAGTTAGGTTTTTTGTTTTTGTTTTTTATTAAGTTACATACTCTATGGCAATGTTAGTTGGTGTTCATATCATATTGATTCATGTCTTTTTCACTTCTTTCTTTGTTGTCTTTTACTCTAATTGAATTAATACTCTTTCTTTTGAAAGAATCTGTGTGCACACAGTCAGAAGGGTGTCAATGTCACACACAACATGAACCTGCCAGATATTCCAAGCTGTTCTGCCATTGTAGGAATTTTACTATCATTGTTCATGACAAAGTTGTAAACCTTGCTAAGCTGCACAGATTTCATCACGTCTTTTTTCATTTTTCAGGTATCCCGTATGAAATCACAACGTTCACAAGTGACATCAGCAGTGCTGGCACTGACGCTATGGTCTACGTTGCTCTCTATGGGAAAGAGACTGCCACACAGCCCAAGAACCTTTGCTCAAGTAAGAGAGAATGCAAACAACGATTCAAGAGAGGTTCTCCGGACAAGTTTATCATTGAGGTAAATAATAATCCTAAGCAAAGAGGATGAAAATTTGTTCTAAATAATTGTTGTGAATGTTTACCATCCCCATCAATACAGTTTAGATCATTTGGGTGGTGGGTTGCTTAGACCTTGCCAGTCAGAGGTACCGTGAGTGGTGTGTGTTCAATCCTAGAAGGCATATTCTGTCAAATATGCTTCCCACTTGCCTTTGCCATTTTGAGTAAAAAAGAAAGAGCCTAATCATTACACCGCAGATACTGGTAGGATGTAGAAGCCATTGATAGGAGAGACAAATAAAAAACGGTAAAGTAAAAAATAACACCATCCCCATGAGACTGGCATCTGCTGACAAAAATTATTCAAATGGAGTACACTTACATGGTATAAGTAAAACAAAGTAGGTGTAAGCGTACAAGTTTTCTCCCCTCCCCCCCCCCCCCCTCACTCACTTGCTATCTCTCTATCTCTCTCTCTCTTTCTCTCTCTCACTCTCTCTCTCTCTCTCTCCCTCCCTCTCTCTCTCCCCTCTCTCTCTCTCACTCTCTCTCTCACTCACTCACTCTCTCTCTCTCTCTCTCTCTCTCTCTCTCTCTCTCTCTCTCTCTCTCTCTCTCTTTCTCAAGACCATTTCACAAATTAGCATGTACACTTTTATTTCTAACACATGCTTTGTTACTGAACTTAATAACAGCTGGAGGATGTAGGGGATACAATAGAGAAGATTCGCATTGGCCACGATGGTTCAGGCTTTGGAGCAGGCTGGCATCTGGACAAGGTGGAAGTGCGGAGGCTTCACGAAACTGGAAAGGTCAGTTATTTTCATGTACTTGTGTGCAGCTTATATCTGACTTTACAGGACATAAATATAAATATCCAATTCTTTTCTCTCACTTTTTTTCATATGTCTCTCACTCCATTCTGTGAAAGGAATCGTATATCACTTGTAGAATACTCAATTATATACTAGAGGTGAAGTGAAGTTTTCATTTGCATTTTCATATTATTTTCTGAAAATAGAATGTAAAGTAATTTGTTGTTTTGAGGTGTGGATTTTTTACATAATGCTATGCTTACTGTTTTACGATTGATGCTGTTTGTTGAATGTACAGTGTGCACGCCAGGATATGTATAGTTGTGTAGGTGGGTAAGTGACTTAGACTAACTCAGAAGGTGGGTTGATAGATGGACACATAGATGAACAAGTGGAGATAAACAAATGTGAATGTGTATATAATTATATATATAATATATACATATGTGTTACGACGTGGTGGAATCAGGCGCTCGCCAATTTTGGGGAATATGAAATTATTGGTATAATCTTAAAGCCTGTCCATTTGCCTTGCTTTCGATGAAAAAAATATCCGTTTATCTTATATACAAGTTAAGATATTGGCCAATGAAGGAGGCGGGGTCGCCTGGTTTCAGAAGTAAAATCAGCTAGAAAATGGCCGCCAAACTTGAGTAATTTCTTTAGCTTGAGAGTACATGGAAACTGAAAATTTACATCTTTTATGCCTTTGACCAATGTTTTTCAGAAATGTGTTCTTTAATTGGCATGATGATGTTGAGCCAAAAAACAAAAATTCTATTAAAATTCCCCAACCTGCGGAAAAATGCGAGTTTCTTGACTTTCACTATTTTGACGAGCTCCTGATTTCCCCACGCTGCCTCACATATATATATATATATATATATATATATATATATATATATATATATATATGTGTCACAATGCGATGGAATCAGGCGCTCATCAAAATTATGAAATCAGAGAAAATGGCATTTTTTCACTTGTTCGGCAAATTAATTCTAATTTTCTTTTTTTTTTGGTCCAACACTTTTTACGTCCATTTAAAAACACATTTCTATGTTGATCTTTTTGAAAAACGAGGATTAAAGACAAAAAAAAGTAATTTTTTAGTTTCCAAGGCCTTTGAAAGTCATCAACTTTGTCGCCATTTTCTTGTAAATTTTATTTCTGAAACCAGCTGCCCCCCCCCCCCCCCCCAACTTCAATTACTTTTCAGGATGGATAGGTATTTTTTCAGCAAAAGTAAGACAAACAAACAAGCTTTAAGATGATACCAATAACTCCACGTGTCAAACAATTGACGAGAGCCTGATTCCACCACGTCGTGACACACATATATATATATGTACATTTTATATATTGTGTGTAAATATATATTATAAATAGGTAACTAATAATGACTCTGTTATTTATATATGTCATGACGCTGTGGAATCAGGCGCTCGTCAATTTTTGGGCATGTGGAATTATTGGTATCCTCTTAAAGCCTTTTCATTTGTCTATTTTTCGATGAAAGAAAAGCCCATCTATCTTGAATAGAAGTCTAGATATTTGCAATTGAATGAGGTGGGGTTGCCTGATTTCAGAGGTAAAGTTAATGAGAAAATGGCCACCAAAGTTTGGTGATTTTTAAGCTTGAGAGTCTTCAGATACTGAAAATTTAAATTTTGTGTGCTTTTAATCAACATTTTTCAGTAAAAACTGTGTTTTTAAATGAATATTAAATGTGTTGAACTAAAAGATAAAGATTCGATGAAAACTGACATTAACCGGCAAAAATGTCAATGTCTTCGATTTCATTATTTTGACTAGCGCCTGATTTGACCAGGATGCCTCAGATATAGTCTCATATAACTGAAAGTACAGGATAGAGCTGTTGATATGTAATATTTTTTTTCCTATTTATGCTTTCTTATTTTTGTCTTGTATATGCTAATACAAAATTTATACAGGTGTCCTTATACTTCCATCTTTTCTTATATGACTCTGCAAATTTACTTCAACTTCACACTATATGTTTTACAACAATTGCCTGTACAAAGAGCTGTACTCAAAAATCTTTTTTGCTTCATTATCTTCTGACCCTTTTTCTTGCTATGAGCAATTAGAGCTGCTCTAACTGCTTGCTTTTATTAAGCCTGAATGTGAATATTTATAACAATGCTTTCATATTTATTCATGTCTAGTAAAATAGAATTCTCGAAAAATTGAAATGGTTTTGTGCTGCTTTTAGTGTGATTAGGAACTGATGTCATTTTTACATTATTGTTGAAGACTCCAAAAGATCAATTCCGCCCTGTAAGTAGAACTTTAATAGCACTGTCTGATGACTTCAAAACAAACTCAGGGAATTTTTTAGATTTAACTTTCTCTAACAAACCTATTCCTCTTATGTGTAAAAGTCTTTCGATTTACAAATGTGCCGTCTTTCTTTTTTCGTCTTTGCTGTAGCAAAATCTGGTGGCTTTGTTTTCACACACCCTGTTTAGTATGGTATAATCATAGAGGGCAAGTAGATTCTGGATGCATTGTTGATGTTGTTGTTGTTGTTGTTGTTGTTGTTGTTGTGTTTAAATAGTCGAGAACAGGGAAATTTGAGCTATGTAATAGAGAAAGGGCCTCAGCTATGAGAATGATTTTAGCTATCTCCTTTCTCTTCGTGCAGAATCTTGAAAAAAGTCAAAATGATACCATCTAACCCTGGCTTTTTGTTGCTCTGTAGTTTGCTTCTTCTTTCTCTGTTCTTTGTAGGTGGTCCTTGGGTTTCTTTCAGTCTCTTTCTATGAATACTTCACAGATAGTGATATAATTGAATTAAAGGTTATATTGAAGAGTTTTATTACATACTCAATGTTTAAAGACGCACATGAGTCATATTAATCTGGTAGAAGTGTCTATCAATAATGTATTCCTGTCATGGAAGCTATTTCCATTCATGTGCATTTTTCTTCCTTTGCTGAGTTTCATCTAGTGTTCTGCCATTCATTTTGCTTAATTTTACTACACTGAAGATATCAGCTGATTTGCGATGAAAATTTACCTCACCGATATTTTAAAAGATATTTAACGCATTTCTAGCGTTTAGTGTGTGTTTATTGATTCAAGAGCTTTTTAAAAGATCTAATACTGTAAGGGTATGCATTTCTTAGTGCTTAATGTTTCTCATAACCACAGCAATGTACTTCACTTTCCCCAAAAATTTGGTACATCCTGTTCTTTTAGAAGTTTCATGCACACTCTCTCTCTTTCTTTGTCTTTTTAAAAAGAAAGACATATATACTTTTTTTTAAACGAAAAGAAGAAAACCCTGTTCTATTACTCTCGTTAAGACAAATTCAGTGAGGACATATTCATGTAGTAGAAATATACAAATAAACATTTACTTTCACCCCTCTCCATCAGACATTAAAATACCCCCTGGGGCGGTGCCACTGACTGAAGTGTCTTTAGACCATTCCCAAAGGGGGGACATCTCATTCTAATGCACAGTAGAATTGTAAATGGGCTGATCCAACCATGTCATGCTCATAGCTGTGCCTGAACTACAACAGGGAACTGCTGCTTTTTCTTTCCTATTCCTTACTATCGTCATTTTCCTCTACTTCTTTTGTATGTTTGTCACACTCTTGTGACCGGTTATTTCCGGGGTGCCTTGATAGTCGAAGCAGACTTTGTGCTGTTGAAGCTAGAGAGGTGAGCAGAGTAAGTCTGATTCCCTGTAAAGACTTCTCTGTTGACATCCACCCCTTGGCGCTCCTATGACCTTATGCAGTTGCAAGCGCTGTAAAACCCTCTACTAAAACTAAAAACTAAACAAGACATTAAAATAGCAAAGTTTGGTTGTAGGCTTTGACCTTTTATGCTGACACACTCGCTTTGCATCATTTGAGGTGGCAAATTATTGGAAAGTCCATTTATGAAGTATACAAAAAGATCTATACAAAGAACAGTTCACTTTTAGATCTGGGTTTTCTTTATGCTTCGAAGGTCTTACTTCAGCACCCTTTTTCCTTTTCTGTTTGTTTTCTTATCACTTATTTTTCCAAATGTATTTCATTCTAAAACAATGTCTCTTTTGCATTTATCTCTGGCTTACTCTTTGGTGTTGGATGCTGGCAGAATGGACTAGTAAGTGATTATATATATATAGATATATATTTATACTTATTTAATTGTACGTGTGAGAGTGCCTTTTGCTGCTCTTTATTTGTAACTTAAAATTTGCTTCAATGTTGGAGAAACATGTAATTTCCTATTCTCTTTGTTTTGTGGGGAGGGTCAGTGAATGAAGTCATCAGTGATAAAATAATGAAAATAAATACAACAAAACCCTAACAACTCGAACTTCACAAGACCAGAGAGTTTCTTCAAATTAAGTAGCTTTCATGTTTAGGGAAGTTGCAATGCATAGAATAGAGAAGGAACCAAAAATTTTAATGGGGGACTTGAAATCCTTTAATGATAACTGGAATGTGGTTTTTAGCAGCATGGTGTTAAATTCAACTGTATCTGTCTGCTACTTCAGTTGGGTAGAACCTTTTCAGTGACATATAATATATGCCCTACAGGACACAAGTAAATTATTTTGAAGGTGGAGCTAGGACGCTTGGCTGTGAGTTACAGTCTTGCTACAAACAGGCAGACTAACTTCTTTCACCACATTTTACTATATTCGGATCAAGATTTTCAAATCTATTTATGCAGAAATGCTTCATTCTTTATGTTTGTGCAACCATGCAATAGGAACAACATGCAAAGACTTTATCTTAGCATACCAGTTTCATGTCTGAAGAGCCTTTTTACTGGGGTTTTAATGTCACCTCAATTTTTTTTTTTGCTACAGTTTTTAATATCAGTTGATAAACGGTCCATTAAGCTTTCCTTCTCATCAATTGTGTGCTGCAGACTGTAAGAGTCATTTCTCTTTTGAGTTTACCAACTTCACATACCTTGTACCTTAAATTTGAGCTAAGGACCCCCCACCGCCCTTTTCTTTAAAAATCCTCTTCTGTATCCGAGGTTGACTTACTGAAATATTCTGCTTCAGGCTCGAAGTATTTTCCATTCGGACACTGTATTACTTTTTGTTTATGTGGTAATTTTTTACTTGGTAGAACCACTGAATTGATACTTTACCACTGTTTTATGTATTTATGAAAGACCTCAGAATAGTATATTTAATGAGAGTTGCATGTCCCTAGGGCTCCATTACCTACACTTTCCCATGCAATCGATGGCTTGCCAAAGATATGGAAGATGGCGCCATTGAGAGAGAGCTGCTACCGGAGAAAGCAGTGCAGGAAATCATCGGGAGAGACGGCCAGACGAAGAGCAAAGAGGTCAAAATCAAGGACAGGCTTAAAGGTAGGGAAAAAACTGGTCTCGTCTTCAGGTAACATGCAATTAACTGAAGTTAACTCCTGTAACAACCTCCTAGTTCAGACAATCATATGTACAAATAACCATTCCCCTTTCCCCCACTTACGTTTTTTACTATACTAAAGTTACACTGTTCAAGAAGACCTCATGTCTAAGATTACCACTTCTCAACAATGGGTGGTCGTTTTGGATTTGCTCCGACTTTATTTGTTTATCTTTAAGAAATGTCAATCTAGAATTTTGATCAAATCTAACTAATATGTAGAAATGTTTCCATTTGTTTTATTTTCTACTGTTCGATACATCATTTTTTTCACTTCTGTTTTGACAAAATGCTCTGTTTTGGGTTGTTTTTTTACCTATTCATTGTGTTTTTCTATCATTTCCAGCCAAAAAGTATACTGTGGAAGTATTCACTGGTGACATGAAGGGTGGCGGCACAGATGCCAACGTCTTCCTCTCTGTGTTTGGTGACAAAGGGGACACAGGAGAGCGACAGCTGCGCAATTCAGAGACAAACAGAGACAAGTTTGAGAAAAACAAGGTGAGAAAGAAACTGTGTATTGTGAACCTTCATAAACCTTTTGTGATAGTCGGAGTCTCTCAAGGCTCTTAACAACTTTCATAGAACACGGCGTCACTTTTCGCCTGATTCTGTTTCCTTTAGTTAGCATGACTCAGGAGCCCGCTGGAGCTCCCCGGCTAGGGGTCACGGGGTCAATGAGCCCTGAAGCGATTTTGCCGGTGTCGGTTAAGAAGTTCGCATTTTTGTCTACGTTTGAAACAATATAGCTTCTTCCCCATCCCACGCAGCAAACCATTACACTGATTTACTAAAAGCTCAATGTCTTTGAGATTTTTTCTGCGTTAGAGTGGTTAATTTCTGTACCTTAGTTTTTGTTCTAGACATGTGTTTGTAGAGTACACAATTTGTCCCATTTTAGTTACAAACTTATGAAATCTGTGTTGAACTGACTACAAATATCATGTCTTTTACCCTGAGAAATCTTGAATCTGCGCAAGTAGTAATAGTCAAGCTATAAGAGAAGAAAGATGCACTTCTGCATTTTTTAAGTAAAGACACTCAGTGTTTGCTCTTGTTTTATCATTAAACAAGAGAAAGTTACTCTGCGTTTTAGTTTTACGGCACTTGCAACACAATAAGGTCATATGAGTACCGAAGATTAGAAGTGTTACAAGAGAGTAACAAAGATAAAAAAGAAGGAGAGATCAGGACGATAGATGTTTGTTAGGAAAGAAGGAGCAAACCACACCAGAGCACCCGCCAACTACTCACTTACTCTGTGTTTGTTCATAAATCATGCTGTGTCTGTGACAGCCTTCATACAACTAAGAAAGATAAATAAATATTATGCGATTTTTAAAAAACACAAAACTGTGTAAATACATGGGTGGAGATAAACTTCTTGTATGGAATAAGAATAATGACAAATACATTTATTCTTAATTTTTGTGTCAGAAATATGCGCAGACACTTATGAATGTAAAGAAATCAGAACATTGTCAGCTATTGCAAATGATCATAGAAATGAAAATAAAAGCTGGAAAAGTCTGATGCTGATTCTGTGTCTCTGGAAAGCTGGAAATTATTCTTATAACCCAATTATGAGAAGTCATCCCTGTTAAGTCAGCTTACAAAAACTAGACTTACCGTTTTAAGAAAAGTAAGGAATTTCTGGAGTGTACAGATGCTGTTCGTGTATTACATTGTAGATGTATTCTGGCACTAAAATCAGTTTGTACTTTTTCGTAAAGAGACTTCAGGGTAATTTTTTTTAACTTTCGAAAAAATATACAAATTTTCACGATTATATTAGAATTAGACTCATGAAGTTGTATTTGGAGGAACTACTTCATTGCGAATTGTGTGCCAGATGAATAAAATTGCAAAATGACAGCTTTCTATTATATGCACAGATACCATCTTTTCTGAGTATCTGCACTAATATTATTTAGTTCATGATCCAAAAGTTCAACAATTTTTTACATGGCGTTTATTTTATATTGATTTTTGTCACACTTGTCAAAAAAAATGTTTCCATTTAGCATTGCCAACTTCAGCGCGTCTAACGAAATAACTAGACAAGTTACAATGTCCTTTCTTTTTTGAGCCTCCTGAGCGAAAATGCGTTCTTAGTTTGCATTAAATGATAATTACCATAAATACAAGGATATGCCTAAAACTGTCCATTGAAAAGTACCAAAACTTAAGTCAGCCCAGAGAGAGAGGCAACAGGGAGCTGACCCCATGACCCCGCGTGATAAGGCGCTCCGCAGGGAACCCCACGCTGCAACTAAAATTCATCTGCCGGTGCGCCGTGAGAAACACATTCAACACCAGAGTCTGTGGTGTAGCAGTTAAGTCCTTTGTCATAGCACACAGAAGATGTGAATTCAATTCTCAAGTGGAGAGAATTTTTTTGGAGTATTTTGTTCTGTCTGTTGGGATGTTATATATCCCTCTGAGCCTGGGTTGGCCTGACAGGCAGAGTTGAAGCAGCCTGCCTCCTTAGTCATCTAGATCCTGTCTATGTGAGCAGAGAACATGTTCAAATATGAAAAAGTACAAGTGCTACGGAGGAGATTGTGAGTTCAGCACGTTAGGGAGTTTGGGATTCTTGTTTACTTTTACCGAAACGAAAGTACATATTTGGGATTTTTTTAGGCACTACTGTTGGTGAGTTTGTTCACTTTACTCATACTCAGCTGAATTTACAGACCTGTGCATTAAAAAATTTATTCATATATGTATGCATATTTGTCTTTGTAATCTGAATTGCGCCATGGGGATCAATGAAAATATTACTCGTTTATTTATTTATTTATTTATAAAATTAATTCATTTATATGTGTTACGACGCAGTGGAAATAGGCACTTGTCAATTTTTGGGAATGTGAAGTTATTGGTATCATTTTAAAGCTGTTTCATTTGTCTTGCTTATGATGCAAAAAATACTCATCTATCTTGACTAGAAGTATAGAGAAATTCGCAATTGAAGGCCGCCAAAGTATAGTGAATTCCAAAACTTGAGAGTCCTTCGAAACTGAAAATTTACATTTTTTTGTGCCTTTTATCAACTTTGTGGGGATAAAATTCACAGGGGACGTGAGTTTTGAAATGGACTTAAAAGTTGTTGAGCTATAAAACACAAATTCGATCAAAATTGTCACACCGGCATAAAATGCCATTTTCTTCATTTTCATCATTTGGACGAGTGACTGATTTCACCCTGATGCCACTCATTTATTTTATTTATCTTGTTGTCTAGATGGATCGCTTTGTTCTTGAGGCTGTGGATCTGGGTAACCTGTACAAGGTGAAGATCCGCCATGATAATTCCATGTTCAACCCAGCCTGGTATCTGGATCGGGTGGAGGTCTCTGATGGACGCGACAAATCTGTCTTCCACTGTGAACGATGGCTGGCAAAGAACAAAGATGATGGAAAGATTGAAAGATCGCTCTACATAAAGGTATGTTCTACATTCATGTCGGAATGTGACTGAAGACAGTGTGAGGTTGAGAGTACATTTATTGTCTCTCTGGATAACTTTTTTCTTGATGTTATATGACAGTTTTGCAATTATCAAGGAATTTTAAGCATTGTCTTTGTTGGGATGAAAAGTTTGGAAAGTTTATATCACCCCAAGTTCTATATTAATTATATTATACTTTTGACAAAGATATTTAACTACTTATTCGAGATGTTGATATCTGGAAGTTTAGACGAGTTTTGCTGAGCTTCCAAAACGTTTTATTTTAATGGCATTGTAGGTTTATCTTTTGAGTATCATTTGTCATCTTTTTGTTGGAAAAAATTGAATGAATAGATAAATTGATGAGATTTCTAAGAATAGAATTGTCCAGTTTGATCCTGTTCTCCATTATTTGTTATAACTTTAAAAAATAGAATACTTTAAGACCTTGCAGGTTGATCTAGAAATGGCCTTCTTCTTTGAGATTCTCATAAGAGTCTGTTATTTTACATTTGAAGATTATATGAAGTTTTACTGTCATTTTTTTTCTCCTGAAAAATAAGGAACTGATAAGCCTGTTTGGTTTATAATCTTTATGTGAATATTACCTGTACACCAGTGAGAGATACCTCCCCCCCACGAGTTATACACAAGAGCATATTTTATGTTCCAATGCACATATAAGTAAAAGTAATCTTTACATTAGTGTGTCTTTTCTTCCCATCTTTCTTTCATCTCTCCTTCATCTCCATTCTTCGTTGCTACTGTCCCATGCTGGTCTGCCCTCAAAGAGACCAATCTGTGGTGAGTAAGGCTATGCACTCATCAACCTCTGAGTACTCTGCCGTAAGCTGACAAAACAGCTTTTTTTATACACAGCAGTTTCGAGGCAAAGAGGGGTTTGTCAGCTTAACCGTTGAAAAATAAAGTATTTCAGAAATTTGAATTCTAATTTATTCAATAACTTGTCATAGTTTCACTTTGATTTTTTTAACACAAGTAGGATATGCGCCAAAATGAAAAAAGGTGTTTTGTCAGCTTACAGCAGTATTGACCTTTGTCCCTTCCCACAGGGCTACGACGGTGACATGTCCAGCACAGGAACTTTGCGCTCAACCAGGTTCGGAGGGTCCATGACCAGTTTGGACTCCATGAAAACTGACCCGTTCTCAAAGAGCCCGCGACTCTCAAGGAAACAGCTCTCACAGTCTCTGGAGGAAGTTCCTGAAGGACCAAGTAGGAACAAAATAATACTGTCATATACCATTGTTTTATTTCTATTGTCCAGCTTTTTTTGGAGACATCTATAAAGAAGTTATTCCTTTGGTGGGGTGGGGGATGGTTACCGTTTCTGGTTCTGATTCTACAGACTGGATCAGATATAAAATTTAGAAACTCCAAAAATGGGATGAAATTGTCTTACAAAAGAAGTCACTGAGAAATGAGTGCTGAGACCTCTGTAGATAAAAAGATTATTATTCAGCCAAATAAATTGATTTGGGTGATTCTGAATTTGAAACTGAAAGGAAAAGTTTCTTTACTTGACAATGCACCATGTTAAAAATTTACATGAAAAATTGATTTCTTCTTTCAAGATGAGTAATCCTTCTCAGCCTTCCTCTCTTTCTCTTTCCTTGTACAGCTGTGCTGTCAAAACTGAAGCCTATTTGGAGGGACAGAAACATCGTGCTCAACTAAAAAATTAGACTAATGCGCTTACTGGTCATCTCAATATTTTTATACGCCTGCGAGTCGTGGACACTAACAGCAAAATTAGAGAAAAAGATTCAGACCACAGAGATGAGATTTTACCGCAGACTCCTTGACATCTCGCACAAAGACCACGTTTCAAATGCTGAGGTACGAAAGAGAATCACCAACACAGTGGGGCAATATGAAGATCTACTGACCACAGTGAAGAGACGAAAATTAAAATGGTATGGGCATGTCACAAGGTCCACAGGACTTGCCAAAACAATCCTGCAAGGAACCGTACAAGGAAAGAGGAAGGCGGAGAAGGAGAAGGGAGGAAAACATTAGAGAGTGGACAGGAAAGACGATGGGTGACAATCTGAGGAAAGCAGAGGACAAAAATAGATGGCGAGAGCTGGTGTTCAGATGCAGTGGTGCCCCCATGGTTGCCCCAACCACGGGATAGAAGAAAAAGAAGAAGCCTTTTATACTAGATGCCAAGAAACTTCTTTTGTATCTTTGTTTCTCAGTCTTACTTTTCTGCCGCTCCGTGAATATGATTTACTGAAGTTTCATTGGAAGAAAATAGCCACTTTTACGCTTTACTCTTTTTATTTCAGCAATCCCATACACGGTCAAAGTATGCACGGGAGATGGGGAAGACAATGGAACCAGCAGCAACGTCTGGATAAAGATCTTTGGCATCAAGAAATTGCACACCGGCCGACTCTTCCTGGAGCTGATGCAGAAGGAAAAGTTTGAACCCAGTTCTGTCGAGATCTTTTCTCTTGAGGCGGTGGATGTCAAAGAAGTGAAGAGAGTAGAGGTAAGCATTGATTGAGAAAATAGATGAATCTATAAAATATGTAAGTGAATTAATGAAATAAAAGAAAGAGTGAAGTGAATGAGTGAATTCAAAAAAATAAATAATCAAAATAAATGAAGTACAAAAAGAAATATATGAAATGAATAAATGGGGTCAGTAAATGATGTAAATAAATGATCAAGTAGAGTAGATAAATTAATAATAAGGTTATTTTCCTTGCTTTTGTCTGGTCCTGTTGTTGTCATCATTGTTGTTTTTGTTTTTGTAATTGTTGTTGTTACTGATATTGATGTTATTATTTTAGTTTTCATTGTTGTAGTCTTTAGTTTGGTCATCATTGTTGTCAATGTCTTTGTTATTATCGTTGCCATTGTTGTTGTTTCTGAGATTGTTGTTGTTGCTGTCTTTGTTGTCATTGGTGTTGCTTTTGTCATTTGTGTCATGACGGGGTGGAATCGGGCGCTTGTCAGTTTTTGGACCTGTGGAGTTAATGGTATCATCTTAAATCTTGTTTATTTGTCTTGTATTTAAAGAAAAAAATATGCAGCTCTCTAGAATATAAGTCAAGATATTTCCGATTGAAGAAGGTGGGGGTCACCTGGTTTCAGAGGTAAAATTATCTAGAAAATCACCAAAGTTTTGTAATTTCCATTGCTTGAGAGTCCTTGGGAGGTGAAAATTTTCATTTTTTGGTGCTTTTAATCAAAGTTTTTCAGTTAAGTCCACATAGAATGTGTTTTTAAATAGACGTAAAAGGTGTTGAGCCTAAAAACAAATATTCAATCAAAATTGCCTATCCGACGGAAAAATGCTGTTTTCTTCGATTTCTTTATTTTGAGAAGCATCTAGTTTCACCACTATGTCTCATATTTTCTTTGTAGTTGTCTTTGTCATTGTCATTGTTGTTACGGTATCACTGTTCATTGCAGATTGGTCATGATGGAGTTGCCCCCGGCACTGGGTGGTTCCTCAAGGACATGGAGCTTGACCTGCCCACCAAGGGCAAACACTACCACTTTGACTGCAAGCAGTGGCTGGCAAAGGACAAAGGGGATGGCAAAACATCCAGGATGTTTAGTGTGGATGACGGACTCAGCTCTATCACATCGTACAAACCAAGTACTGTTTGCTCATTGTTACTTTCGTTTTTCTTTTTTAGACTTGATTCTCTTTTGCTTCTGTCTGACCATCTTTTTCCAAGATTTAAAAGACCCTTATATTGCTTTGATGTAGGCTACATCTTTTTGTACTCTTTGTTTGAGTAAGAGTTATACTGCACTTGCAACACAATTAAGTAATGTAAAAGTGCCATATTAGTCTTAAATATGAAAGAAGATGGAAATCTAAGCTTTATTCGTCTCATAAAAATACTTTTTATATGTACCACAAAATGTGGCTAATTTCCTTTTGATCTGCTGTAAATTTCTACTCAACTAACTACAGTTCAACAAATGTAGGAAGTAGAAAGCAGAAATTTGAAAGAATAAAATAGTGTTGATTTCTGTTTTGTGATAGAGCTAGATTGTTGGTGGGAGATTTCATGGGTTCAGCTGGTCATACTTCTTTTAATTGCTTTTTAGTGTAGTTTTCTCCTAGTAAATTATTGTTGATAGATATACTGTGCTGAGTCACTGTAGTATACATCTTAATAGGTGGTTGGTGGGCGCTCCGCTGTTGTTTGCTCCTTCTTTCATATCAAACATCTATCGTCTTTATTTCCCCTCCTTCTTTTTTGTGTTTGTTACTCTTTTGTAAAACCTCAAATCTTTGGCACTTGTATGACCTTATTATTTGCAAGTGCTGTAAAACGTTTACTAAAACTGAACTTAACTAAAGAATACACTCATTGTGTAAGAAGAATAATTTCTCTTGAAATCTATCAACAGTGATACCTTACGAGGTGACAGTGACTACGGGAGATGTTGCCGCGGCAGGCACCGACCGCAAGATCATGATGACTGTCTTTGGCACCAAGGGCACATCTGGTCCATTAGAGTTGGACAAAAGACAAGATAGATTTGAGAGGGCCAGGACAGATTTGATCAAGGTCAGCATGATTTTTGCATAGCCTCCTCCTCTTTGTCTTCCTTTCCTCTTCCTTCTCATTCTTGTCTCTTCCTCCCCCTACTCTTCTTCCTTATTTTCTTTCTCTCCCTCCTCATTCTCCTCCTCATCCTCCTCTATACCCCTCCTTGTCTCATCCTCCTCTTCTTCCCCACCTCCTACTCCACCTGCTCCTCCTAATCCTTCTCCTCCTCCTCTTCCTCCTCCTCTTTATGGTGTGCAACTGTTCTTGTGTGATAATTCTATGGACATTCTTTAAATTTTGCCAATCTCTTAATATCTAAATATGTTCTTTGTGAAACACGACCATTGTCAAGCTGACTTACCACATGTTTCAGCTCAACACCTACTTCCTTGTCAGCTTGATGGAGCCACATATATTCTATTCTTTCAACATTTTTTAATAACCAGCTAAGTGTCCTAAATTAAACTACAGCACATTATAGAAATCAAATATCATTTTAAGATAATTTGGCCATGGAACAGCCTCAAAGTGACTTTTTTCTCTGTTTGAACTGATCTTTGTTGTCTTTGCAAATTCTTCTTCTTATTTCCTGAAAAAAGTTACTCACTCTCTGTGCAATGACTGCTAGTAGCAAAGATGCACTACAAAAAAAAGAAAGAAAGAAAGAAAACAATATTTTGTTTTGTAAAAGCCCTTTATAAGTTATGATTTGTTATGCACAACTTTTTTTTGGTTTCCATCAGATGGAGATCGACGATGTGGCTCCCATAAAGAAGGTCAGACTGGAGCTCACTGGGAAAGGAAGTAGACCTTTCTGGTTCTTGGAAAAGGTGAGAACGGAATGCAAATGAATATTTTCTTCATGTTGATGGGCTTGAGTCTGCAGTCGCCATGTTTTCCTTTTTGCTTATGAAAATTGTAAAAAACATAGAGCTTGCTGTTGAGCAGAGGCATGCACTATGCAAATCGTTGCTATCACAAGCAATCGACTTAAGTTCAAATTTTGAGAATTTTCTATTTTTATACCTTCCCAAGCTCTATGAAAGATGTAGCTTTCAACATCACCAAAATGCAGTTTAACTCTTTATCTCTGGCAAGCCACTCTCAGCGGCTCACGGTCGGAACCACTGGGCTGGTGAACCGTTGACAGCAGCCAGGGCACATTCCTTTACGGCGACTTCGACATCCAATTACTTTTTGACAGTTACCGAAAACTGGTCTCTTTTATCGGGATATAATTTATTAGATGAAGAACTATCGAAATAGGTTCACTTGTTTTGATTTAATGACTAATTTAGTGACGATTTTGTCATTTTTAGATTTAGTACCAAAAGCGGGCCCTGGCATAGTGGGCCCCCTCGGAGATAAAGAGTTAATGCTATGATCAAGGTGTACAATTTTCCTGCTTTTCATGATTCCTGATAGAAACAACACAACAAAAACTATTTTTTTGTGTCTGGTGTAAAAAGTGCCCAAACGAACTTAAGTGGATAGATTGCATTACTGGTAAAATTGTATTTATTATTATTATTTTTATTATTATTATTATTATTATTGTTATTATTATTATTATCATTGCTTGATTTGCATCAATTTATAGCTTGAGCTGCGGAACATGGAGACAGGCACACTGTCAGTGTTTAAGTACAACGGTTGGATCGGCTCAGGAAAAGATGAAGCCAAAAACCCAGTGGATATTCCAGCTGTGGAGAGAGGAAAAACTGTCCTGGAAAGTAAGTCTCCTTTTTCTTCTTTTTTTCTTTTCTTTTTTTTAGTAGAGGGTTTTACGGCGCTCGCAACTGCATAAGGTCATATGAGCGCCAAGGGGTGGGTGTCAACAGAGAAGTCCTTACAGGGAATCAGGCTTACTCTGCTCACCTCTCTAGCTTCAACAGCACAAGGTCTGCTCCGACTATCAAGGCACCCCAGAAATAGCTGTTCACAAGACTGTGACAAACATACAAAAATGACAATAGTAAGGATTAGGAAAGAAAAAGCAGAAGTTCCCTGTTGCACATCAGGCACAGTTATGAGCGTGACATGATGAATCGGCCCATTTACAATTCTACTGTGCTTGAACGAGAAATGTCCCCCCTTTGGGAATGGCCTAAAGACACTACAGTCAGTGGCACTGCCCCGGCGGCACTCCTCTTTCTATCCTGTTTTGTTTTGTTACGGGGGGGGGGGGGGGGGGGGGGGGTTGTGAAATCTATGTTTGATGGTACAGTGGTTTCCATTTTAAAATTTGTTGTATAAGAACCCTGTCTGTGTAAAAACCTATTTTCATCGTTTCTCATTTTTTTTTCCTCTCTTTAATCTCCATGCTGGAGAACCGGTTCAACAAATATAAATCTGTGTAAGATTAGAACCCAGTTTGAGCCGAGGGAAATAATTTTTCATCCAATTTTAATTGTCTTGTTTTTCCATGGTAATAACTTGTATTGCGAAAGCAAATGCACAGTGTAACGTTGCAAAGATCAATGGGTTGTAACGGGAAGTGAGTAAATTTAAGTGAGCAGCCCTGAAGCTGATTGCTCGCAACATGATTTTTTAAAATTAATTCAGACGTCTTTTCCATTAAGCTTTTCTTGACTCCCGGTGAATAAGTTATCAGGCAGAGATGATTGTGCTTGTTTTACAAAGACTTTAGACTAAAATATACAACTAAGGTGTGTACTTGAGCATAGATGACTTAACATGTATTGTTCTCTGATCTCCATTTGATCAATGTTTATCTTTTTCTGGTGTACTGTTGAACAGAAGTGTCATGATTTATTGTTAGCTAATAAGAAGGATTGCACCTTCTGTTGATGCACAGTAGATTTATAATTCAATTCCTCCCTACCCACTGGGATGGGTTTTGATATTGCTAAATGCATATATCTATATATGTCAATGCAAGAAAGTACAAATTAGATTATATTTTACTTTATTTCATTCATTAAACTATAATTCATCTTTTTTTTACGTATGTGTTACCCCTAGAAACATCCTACAAGGTGTCGGTGAAAACCTCAGATGTAAGTGGGGCCGGCACGGATGCCAACGTGTATGTTATTATCTTTGGTGCCATGGGAGACTCTGGTGAGGTCCACTTGAAGGACTCGGAGACCTTCAAAGATCCATTTGAGAAAAACCAGCTTGACGTCTTCACCCTGAAGAACCAGTTGTCTCTGGGAGAACTCAGCAAAGTGCGGGTCTGGCATGATAACAAAGGTATGAGCACTTGACTTTGAGTTAAAGTAAACTGGTGTGTCTCACATAATAATCATAATAATGATAAAAATGATAATCATCATCATCATCATTTTTATCATCATCATAAACATAATCATTATAATCATAACAATAATAATGATATTAATAATAATATATATAATAATAATAATAGTTTATCCGTTTATGAACTGATCCTTTAACATTCAAGGAGAAAGAGAAGTTAATAAACCTTATTAGCTACTGCTGGTTGCAGTCTCGAATTAACTGGATCTTTAACAAAACACCAGATAAAGGGTATGGCATGATTTTGGCTTATTGCCTCTTGTAACTCTGTAAGTTTATTAAAGAGATTGGACCCCTTAATTTAATTTCCATTTCTAGAACAACGTAGCCATGTAGGTTGAAAGTCTTGGGAACTCCCGTAGCAACTGAAATTCAAGTTAGCTCCATTGGGCATACCAGGGTCATCCACACCATCTCCCAGCAAAATACCAATGGCGCTAATGGTGCCCAGATGAAGAGACTTTTGACCAAAAACAAAAAATAAACCAATTTAAGAAACAAATTGACAGAATAAAGGTCATTTGGTATTGGGGAAAAGCAGAACAGAGAGAAACGTCAGAGGAATGGGAAATAAAATAAGATCTTCAGATGCTGCTCCCTTGCCATCCATCTACAAGTAGGCCTACATGTATTCCAACTGGTTGACACTCTGATTTGGATTACTTTTTTCCCACTTCTGGAAAATATTGCTGTCGTTCTTGTCTATTTCCATGTAGATGTAATATTGTTGATTTGCTTTAAAATACAACTTCTGTCTCAAATCTCTACCAATGGTCATATTGTACTCAAGTCATAGAAAGCAAAAGATATTTTCATTAGATAATCTGTCGAGATCAACAGTCTTAATTCTTTATTTTTGACTACTTTTTAACAAAAGTAAGTTGACATTTTTAAAGGATGGTGCACAACTATATGAATAGTTTTTAATTAAATTGTCATTGCTTTGTTCTCATGTTTTTTGGGGGGTTTTTTAATTTCTAAGGTTTCGGGGCTGCATGGCATTTGGCGCACATTGAGATTGAAGATCTGAGCAACAAGAGGGTGTTTACATTCCACTGTGATAAATGGCTATCGACGAAGGAGGACGACAAGCAGATAATTCGGGAGTTGACGTGCTTGCAACCCTCTAGACCAGACTCAGCAGGCAGTTCATCAAAAGACAAAACAGGTTTGTTGTTCTTGTAGTTTGATTGCTGTTGTTGTTTTCAGTATTTTTTTGTTGCTAATTTAGGCCTGCTTGTTATTGTTGTGTTGAGAGTATAGATCAGTTACTGTGGTATAGTGGTGAGGCACTTCGCTGTCTTATGCAGACTACCTGTTTTTGATTCCCATGTGTGGAGAATTTTAATTAAATATCTTTGTCTTTCTGCTGAATCAGCTGGTCCAGACAGGAAAGGTTTAAGCCTGCCTCTTAAATTGTCTAAATTGTGTCTGTGGAGGGCGTAAAACACCTAAATCGAAAAGATAATAAATTTTAGAGTGTAGTAGCCCATCTTCTTTCTGCTATTTGCTTAGTTATCCTTGTTCATTCAGCTACCCTCAGGCTTATTTATATCCTTCTGTCTTTACAAACTGCATTATGGAAGATCTTTTTGTATGGTGGTTCAATATTCCTTATTAGTTCTTTATTTTCACCAGGTGTTGCAGGAAACATTCTAAAAAAATTTCAGATTATTTGAACATTGTTATGAGTGATAATTTAAGTGTTTTTGAGTGAAGTAGCTATGTGTATGATTGAATATTGACACTGTGAACTTTTAATTTGTTTCGTTCAAATCATGTCACATAATCAAAACAGTTTTGTGAATGAGGATATTGAAATTGTGAAATGATTTATGTTGTTCTCTTCTTCAGTTTACGAAATTGAAGTGACAACAACTGATAAAAATGAAGGTGGGACAATGCACAATGCATGGCTCATTCTGGAGGGCAAAAGGAAATCATCTAAGCTGTTTCAACTGGTCAATAGTCCTCACAACAAGATCTTGAGAAAGTAAGTTTGTAGTACGGACATTATGTAGCTCAAGCTTTTACTTTGTGCACTTATGGCTTATGGTCACTCTGACGAGATTTAGTCTTGTTTTTTTCGTCTGTGTAACTTTTTTGTATTCTTGTCTAGATGTGCTGAGATTTTATGGTCATGATACTTTGCAATCAGGTATTTGCAGACTAGCAGGATTGTGAACTTTTGGTTACATTTAAAGAGGTCGCAGAAAAGATTGTTCTGAGTTCTTTGTTTTATCATGCAAGGGATTATCATAAAGCTTCAGAGACCAGTTGGTTCTTTTGTGAATTTTGTGTGTGACAAATTCATTATAGAGAAGCATAGTCAAAGGAAGTCATTTGATTTTGCAAGACTATTTCAGTCTTCTATGTGTCAATATTTCTTTCTGGGGATCTTACTTGGGATATTACTGCTGCCTGTAGGTTCCTCAACTGAGCAAGGGATCTTCACGTACTTGACTTATTTTTTTTGTCGGAACTGAGTGATTTCCTCCTTTCTGGCTGTAATATGATTTTTTCGAAGGTGCTTTTAATCGTTTGCACTGTTCTGTTACTTCGTTCAGCTTTGGGTGAGATTGTTTGTGTTATGTCCCAGACAGTCAGTAAAGGCAGGCCTTTTTTTCTTCGTTTTTCAACTGTCACAATGGCTTGAATGTCCTGAATGTGCATATCTGTTCTCTGTATCTCTGTCAAAAGAGAATTGTCCTCTGTCCTTTAGATCAGGCTGAAAAAAAAATCTTCCTCCAACCAGGAATAGAACATAATGCTTCAGCATGAGAGATGCACACTTTGTCTCTGAGATTGTTAGCCCACGTGCAACCTGCATGATAACAGAAATATGAGATGGCAAAGGAAAATCCTTCTCATTGGTCCCCAAACGGCTATATATTTTTATAACTGTTTTGCAGTCATCAGCAAACTGTTTACTACTGCTCAGTCTAAGACTCCATCATATTCGTCACTTTTCAAAATGGTGTATGGCGGAGTCTAAAACCAAACGGTTGTTACTTGGCTTGTTTATTTTTTTATAAAGTAGTTAACCTGTCCAGATCAAAAGGTATGAGGGCATGTATGATGACCAGGTGTTCTATTTCACTTTTTAACACTTTCCGGGGGTAGTTATTTTGGGGTCTAGACGTAATTAACTTGTGACTCGATTCGGCTACACTGGTGATGTACAAAATAACTTCATATAAGCATAACCATCACTCTAAACGAAACATATCATATATCAAATTGAAGGAAATTGAATAAGGAATACATTCCAACATGAAACAGGGATTAATTTTGAACATAAGTAGTCCTATACATTACAAGGATAAAAAATGGCGATGGTGGTGAGAAAAATATATTTTGACAGAAAAAATTACACACACTAAGCATGTGAAACCGATTCAGCATAGTTATCTTATCATATACAGGCCAAGAGCAGACTCCTTAAATTTCTGAATGTGCAGCTTTATATTTGAATGCAATATTTCAATTTGTGTTTGAGTTATGATATTTATACTGAGTCCGGTTAGATCGTTTTGTTGATGCAAGACCACAAAAACTAATGCACATGTTTTTCGCCTGACTGACGATTTGACAAAGTGAGACTAGATGTTTTCGTTTCTTAAACTCTTACCAAGTTTTCAATATCGATAAAACGGACTTATAAATATGGATCATGTTAAAACGAAACAAAACTGAGGCACCCCATCATAGCCGATATATCACCGATACGTCCGCAAGGGGTGTGGACTCAGGCCGATATATCGGCGATACGTCCAGAAAGAATTTTTTTTTAAACTGTCTTCAAACCAGCTCCTGTCAGCATAAAAGGTTTCAACTTTTATGTATTTTCCAACACCACTCACAAATCTTTCCCCAACTCCGTTTTTCAGGGGCACATCAAACAACTTCTCCATGTCATCTGCACCACTGGGCAAACTGGAGAGGTGCATTGTGGGTGCTTTTGAGCGAGCAGACCGTAAGATGGATGATCCACAAGGGAGAGAAGCCATGTGGCACTGTCATGAGATTGTTGTCACTGACACTTCATCAGGGGAACGGTAGGTGTTGTTCTCTCTTCCCTCATAATCCATTTTGGTTTGTTTTATTATGTAATGTAATGTCACAGTTGAGACATCTTAACCCTCTCCGTACGCCCTGGGGTCATTTTGTACCCCCCGGGGTTGTATTCTTCACATTTTAGAATACTTCTTGTACGAATATCTCTTTGAAACTTTCAGTATTTCTGAAAAAATCATTTTGACAGACTGCTATGCAAAGCATACGGATCAGATTAACGATTAAATTTCCTCTTTGGAAAGTGGTGGCACAGAGCTCCCCACGTTGTATGGATACGATAGTAATACACAACATACGGATAAGGTTGATCACCTATGGAAACAGTTAAGTGCCTCCTCGTTCCCTGTGTAGTTTTAGTTACCTTTGACTTTTTCTTAGTTATTTTTCATGTTAAGCTTTTGAAAAGCTGTGTTGCTGCAAATAAGAGAAATCTTGAAAAGCTTCTAGTTTACTTGGTGTGTGGGAAAGTAAATAAGTTCTCTTTCTTCTCTGTCATCACTGAAAGAGGTTACATTTTTTCAGGTTTTGAGAATAGATGGCACTGTGTTAACTGCTACTCTTTTTTATAACATGTACTTTGCCTCAAAGGAACATTCTGAATTTTCAGTGGGTGTTTGGTGGTGTTTGATATGAACTTCTTTTTGTACTTCGTATTCACCTTTGATTTTATCGAAAATCTACCACTTAGCGAAATGTGGCCCCTTATCATGTTGACTTATCATGCACTAAGGCTCTACAACTGACCTCTCAGGTACACCTTCCCATGCAAGCAGTGGATCAAGATATCCCCTCAGCCATCCAAGAGAGATGCAGAAGTACTGGAAGTTTCGAAAGTGGAGGAGAGCAAAGTAGCTGTGCAGAGAAGTTAGTATCATGTTGAGTTTGCCCATTGTGGTTCTAACAAAGAATCTTCTTCTCACTACCTTCCTAAAACAGCAGTAAAACAGTGTACCTTTGCTTCAAAGGAACATTCTGAATTTTCAGTGGGTGTTTGGTGGTGTTTGATATAGCCTTCCTCTTATGACATCGGTAGTCTAGTGGTTAGGTAACCAGTCTCGTAATTGTGAGGTTGCGGGTTCGGGGGTTTGTAGAGAGAGACATTAATTATACATTTATTTATATATATATACTTAATGTATATTTTTTCTGTTGTTAGCTTACTCACCTTTAATTGTTACTTTCAGCAGCTGCAAGAAAAATATTCTTTGATAATAATACAGTTCTTCTTGTCTTATTATATTTTATCTATGTTATCTAATACATTTCCTTTTCAGACCTGGCCCCTGTGAAATACGAGATAGTGGTCATAACGGGTGATGTGAAAGGTGCTGGAACGAACGCCAACGTCTTCATCACCGTCTTTGGTAACAACGGCAACACTGGGAAGAGACCCTTGACCAAAGCTTTCAGAGACTTGTTTGAAAGGAATCAAACAGACAAATTCCAAATTGAAGCTTTAGATCTGGGTAAGTTTAACATTTTTTGTTTACATCATCATTTTGGCAATATTAGGCAGCACTGATCTGTAGCTGGTAAATACACTTATACATCACTCCCTCAGGTTAGACTTCAAAACTTGACATAACCTCCCTTGATGATAACATGCAAAGTCAAAGTGCGAGTAGTCTCTGGCTTGGTTATAATATGAGAGTACTCTTTTTTACAATGCCTTTTAACTCTTTTTATCTGGGCTACAAGTATATTCGTAACAAGGACCAGTTCTGGCTACGAGTAAACTCAGAACAGCCTTACGGTCACGTCAAACAGCTAGTTCTGCTTGTAATTACCAATATACGCAAATACGGCGATGCTAGCTCTGTTTGAATATTCAAATTTTCCAATGAGCAACGGTTTCTCTGTTTTTGATAGGTGTAGAAGTTTGAAAGATGTCTCGAAAATGCAAGTTCACAACCAATGAGTACTTTTTGAAGTGGTGCTGGGTTGTGAGGGGGAATGAGACTAATTTGATGAAAGTGACTCTAAATCGAGTGCCGTAAATTCCATTGTCGATGATAACGAACAGGAATAAGACTCATCTAATAGCGATTCAGATCATGGTGAAGGGACTAGTACTGGAATTCGTGCAGGACTGATGGGTTATAAGGCTAGATCTTGGTGTAATTCCTAACCACATACATTTATAAAAACTACATTCAATTTCTAACATAACTGCCACACTTCCTTAAAATCTAAGAGTAAGTGTAAGAAATACAGCACTTTGAAATATAAACCCTGGATTCCAACTCATATGGCACGGCGGCCTCAGGACGGGTAAGAGTCGGTGGGGGGACGGCCAGGATAAAAAGAGTTAAGATACAGGTAAAAGATTCTGACATAAGAATTACAGACTGATTATAGATAGCCCTTAACCTTTCACTTCCTGGCTTAAGACTGTCTCATACTCTTCTGTTTGGACTATGAGTAGAACATCTAGCCCTCACTCACAAAATTGAAGACAAATGAAACAGGGGTAGACCCAGAGCAACCTATCTGGAGAGTTTTAACAGATGGGTGATTAGGGAAATATTAGGATAAAATATTTCAAATTCTTATGTATTACTAAATTTGTTTCCCTTATTTTTCAACCAGGTGAACTGACCAAGGTGAAGGTGGAACATGACAACAGTGGTTTCAGACCCAGCTGGTTCCTTGAACGAGTTGAAATTCTGAACCTAGCAACCAACTCTACCATAGTGTTCCCCTGTTCCAAGTGGCTTGCAAAGGACAAGGGAGATGGAGAGCTCTCAAGGGAGATTTTTGCAAAGGTCGATTAAACAGTGATGGAGGAAGAGTTTGTCTTATTGTCATTTATAGTCCACGTAGGATGGTCCTCTGATGTGGACGTGGTAAAGCAGGTTGCAAACTTGAATTGCCTTGTAGAGGTATAAGGTGTGTATCTAAACAGGGCTTGAGTTATTTGCCTCATACTTTGACAAAGATTTACTCTTCGGCAACTGACCAGACAAGGGACAAACTGCTCCACCTTCAAAATGACTTGTCTTGTGTGTAGTGCAAGACTTCAACAGCAAATCTTTAACAAATGGTAGATTGACATGATGAAACTGTGTTTGTTTGTAATGACCTTATGGATATGTGATTGTGAGATTGTTATGGATGTGCAGCTACACAGACTTATTTTACCCGTGTTGGTGTCTTTGCGCTTGTGTATTTGTATTGTGTGAGTACAGTCAAACCTGCCATGACGGCCACCTAGTACAAGCGACCACTTTCCATTTCCCCCTCTTGAGTTTTTTCTATATAATTTAACAATGTAAAATGGTCATCTGTCCAACGCGCCCGCAGCCACCTTATTTTATCAACCCACAGTCAAATTTACCTGCCTCAGGCGGCCAGGCATGATCACTCATTGCCTGACGCTTTGTCATAAATGTTGAATCGGCCCCTCATGCTGTGGACGGGCTGTCATCACCCACTCACCTGTCATTATTGTTAATCCTTCCAATGAATGTTTACCCAAGTTGACCAATGGTATAGGCCTAACAACAAATTTTCACCTGCTGGTGAGGGAAGCGTGTGATCCGTCATAACCTTTTTCATTTATTTTACCCTTGCACAAATCAGAAAAATAAATAAATAAATAAAATAGAAAGCTAACGAAAAAAACAAACCTACAAAACAACACAAAAAACCCTACTTACACCATCCCCCCCCCCTTTTCAAAAGAAAACAAAAACCCTATTGAATTGGTCTTACAGCTGTCTAAATATTGAGATTAGCCCCGGTTTGGACCTCAGAAGAGAATGATTTGCTTTCTTCGTTTTGATCAGTCCTGCCTAAGACAGTCATCTGTGTTATGCGGCCACTTTTTTCCTTGACAATGGGTGGCCTTTTTATGTTGGTTTTACTGTACTTATGGAATTTTGTAATTGTACACTCTGATGCTTGCATGTTGATTTGAGAAAGTGTGATTCAGAGAAGAAAATAGAAGAGGGTAGCTTTTCTTGAATGTTTCCTGTTGATATGTTGGGGAATTTTTCTACTACTGATGACTTTTGTCATTGAAGAGATGTTGCTGGCTGTAGCAAGATAATGTGATATATATAACATGATGATGACAGAGAATTTAGTTTTGTAAAGGCTGTGAGACAGTTTCCAAAACTTTTTTTTTCTTTGAATAAATGGGCATTTCCGAAATATGAATCAATGTTATGATAGTGTAAATAGTTGCCTCTCACAATATTTTGCTTGTGTACTTTGTGATTCTTTTAGGTCATTTGTATATATGAATAAAGGATTCAGCTCTTTTTATTATGATTGTTGTAATAAATCTCAGAATTTTAAATATTATTAGTATCGTAAGCTTTTTTGGTATTGCTGACTGAGACTGCTAAAAGACCAAAGCTACAACTTTTGAGCTAGGCATTCAGGATACAAATTTGTCGAATCTGATTTTTACTTCCTTTCTTAACTTTCAAAGTCTTTGTTTTGTGTTGTATAAAAATAACAACTATGCTTAAAGGTGATAAAGAGAATAAATCTTTTCATAGGATGTGGCGAGAGATTATTTTATTCCAATGCTGTGAGCTGAGTGTGAATGACTCATTATGTGTCTGTCACTGCTAATGCTTTCATTGTTATATGTGAGGCATCGTGGTTAAATCAGGTGCTCGTCAAAATAATTAAATCAAAGTTAACAATTTTCTTCCTGTTTGGCAATTTTTATCGAATTACTATTATTTGGCTCAACACCTTTATGTTCATGACAAATAAATAAGCTTTAAGGTGATACCAATAGCTCCATATGGCCAAAAATTGACAAGCGCCTGATTCCACCGTGTTTGTGACACATATACCATGTAAGTCCGACTACATGATTCTTTGTTTGGTCTAGAAATTAATTATAGGGTAACGGGTAACTATAACAGAAAGTTTGGGGGGTTTTTTTGTGTACATGTGAAAGTTGGGATGTCGTTGAATGCAGATGAAGCTTGTGTGTTAAAAATATCGACTGACGAGGATTCATTCCAATTGTAGTTACTTGTAACATGTGTCCAAATCATTATTTTGTTTATTTTGTTGCCTTTCAAATAAGTCATCGCATCTCCACACTTCGGCGCCCGATTTATTTGCATTTTTTGTCAATTTTTAAACTGATATATTGTATTCAATGGCAGCAGAATGCAGTCAGCTGTACTTGATGTCACTCCACTTATACCGGTTGTCTTACAATTCAATATTGTCGAATGCTTAAGTCCAAGAATAGTTGTAGCTCATTGATCAAACTCTATGATGATGTAGAAAGCTTGATACAATTTGATTAAATACTATTTAAACTGTGAGTATCACGTCTCCAACATTCCAGCTCATAATTATAAGTGATTGAAAGAACGCATGGGCTTTTCTTTCATTCCAGATAATTTACCCCTCTCTGACTCCCTAGGGTGCCTTTAAAGAGCTCGTTTTTCCTTAAAATAAAATTGTTTTATATGTATTATAGAGATTGATGCTGTGGTTGCTTTTATGTTTGTCACTCTGCCTTGTAATGATCTTTGTTCAAAGTATTGAATATACTGAGAATTTAAAACAAGGACTTCCCCAAAAAAACATTTACACAATCCCTCATTTATGTTTGGAGTATTTACTTCTACTACTTTCAGGTATGCATCGTACTAAAACACTGCTCCAAATCAACAGCCTTTGCTTTGTGTCTTCAGCGAACACAAGGTGTCAATTTTTGTTTTTCCTCATATAAAAAGACCAGATATGACTATGAGAAAAAAAACAAGTTATTACAGAGTAGAGCAAAAAAGTCGAAGAAGATATTACTGTTCTGCAGACTGGAAACAAGTCAAAATTAACTGAATTATAATTCCTTATAATGACAACTTTTTTTTTCAATTTCATCATGGTACAGACTAGTAGAGTTGACTGTTATTCTTATTATTTTGTACTTCAAATAAGTCTTCATTTGATGAAAACTTTTGTTTTCAAAAACCATGCTTGCAGTTAAAGTTGTTTTTTTGTTTTGTATATCAGTACATGTATATGGTAGGCTACAGATTTTTCATGTGAAGGTGCATACTTTTTCATGAAGACTGTACTGTCTTTACATTACAATATCTTCATTGAAGATAAGGGTAAAGCTCATAACTCCTTTTTTAATTGCTACGCAGTAGCGTTTGACATTGTTGTCAAAATGCTTCTTCATGAAATATCCATCTAATTGCACTAATTTTTAGTTTTATAATAACCCACTCAATATCCTAGCATGTATATAACAGTTATAAAAAGATTATGTACTCTGTCAATCAATCCCAAGAACATGTGATTGTCATGAAGAATTTGAATATGTTTCATAAATCCAGCAGCAATGATTTCTTTCTTGAGTTTTTTTATGTTTTTGAAGTTTAGTGCCCTGTGTTATTATAATGCTGTTACAATTTTTGCTTGTGTTTTATGCATTCCAATGCACATTGTTGATGAATTTGATTTCTTTTACCTGACCTCTGTACTTGTGTCTCATTTGACTTTGTTAGAGAATATGAGCTAAATAGGAATGGACAGTTGTGAGTCCCTATGCTTTAACGGAATTCACCCTGCATTGCCGCGGCAGTGCACTTGTGTCCTCCTGGCTTGCCGCGAGCCGGGGGGGTAAAATCGGTCTGAACTCGACGCACTAACCTTAGACCCACATAGAGCCCGAACTATTTCAGATGTCAGTATGAAATTTCGCTTAAATTGTACTTAAAATGTTCTTTTAATATAATGAGAGAGAAAGATGAACGAAAGAGCAGAGAAGACAATATATTCTTCGTCCGACTGTGACTCATCGGCGCTCGATTTACCCATAGCTGCAGCAACTTATAGTAAATCTATGGTCTGAATCTAGCTTTTCTTCTTTTTTTTCAATGCACTAAATTCAATCCGATGGCTTTTAGTTTTTCTAGATTTACGTCTACTTTCACTTTCTTTGCCGCTTATGCCTAAAACAAAACTAACTCGTGCTTTGCAAAAAACTGGATCAGAACTAGCTAGCTACAAGCGACCTATTTTTTTCAATAGAAACCTGGATAAGTGGTTCAGACTCGATTTTGTGGACTGGTATTTTGCTACGACTATTGTCGTAGCTCGGTGGACGGAAGCGCGCTGCAGGTACGAATGTACTCGTAGCTCGGGTGCAATGGGTTAAAAAAAATATCCCTATTTTATTATTGTGAAGAATTGCTTTGTCTGTATGATTCACTTTATTTGTGAACAGTTCCTCTAATTAAAGGAGGTTTTATTGGTGTCCAATCAATTCTCATTCTGCTTTAGATGTTTTTAAAATTACTGGTTACGCTGATTATAAGAATAAGGAAAGGACTACTATTATATTACCATTAATGTCATTATTTTTGCTCTTGTTAAAGTATTTACAGTTGTAAATTGTTCACAATAATGTTCTGTGTCTACCGTGCTAAATTCTGTTATGTCAAATGTCTTTAGGTTAAAGAGAGTATTGTTTAATGGTACACCCACTGTAAAGTTTGCAGAAATATAATGTTTGTATATTAGCTTTACTCTTTCACTAACCTGTTAGAAATTATCATTTTTTAAAGGTCATATATGTGGAGGCTGACACTTTTTATTTTATTGGAGTCTGTTGTCAGTGCTCATGTATTTGTTTTTCTATGTTTTTTAATGTGTTCACGAAAGTGTTTGTGAGTGTCTGTGGGTTTGGGGGTTTTTTTCTGTATTGCCTTGTTCTGAATAGTTTTTACTGAATGCTTGTATTGTTAAATGGAGATGTTAAGTCATATTTTTTAGATGCTGTGCCGAGTGTAAAAACCAGAAACTGGAGCGTATCGGAGTGCCTTTTATCATGTTGTTGTTGCAGTTAATGTAAATTTGTTACTTTTTTATTGGTTCTCTTTTGACGACAAATGATACGATATAAAGAATGTTGTTTGAAGTGAATCAAAATTGTAACATTCTCCTAGTGATTCAATAACTCGTATACTGAATTGTGATTATTGACACAGTTTAAAACGCTGTTGCCATGAACAGCCTGATAAATACTACTGTAAGTGATTTGATCCCTGTTGTGTCTTGGTCGCAAGTGGACTCATGGGGTACATGATACTTAAGGTAGTGTCCTATTAGGGAAGGACCGAAGCTGAAGACTGTACTTTAATTTCAAAATTTATGGGGAAGGGGGAAGGGCTGAGAGATGTATCAGTGATTAATTTTTCTACAACAGAACTTCACCTAGTCAAAAAGTCAACAATATACAGATGTGTTACACAAACGACGGGGGGGGGGGGGGGGAGCTCTTTCAGGGCGTTATTTTTTTTGTTTTTAGTTTTGTTCTGGTTTTGGTTGGGTGTGGGGGGGGGGTGGGGGGGTTACATATGACAATTAAAGAATTTGTTAGGTATCTATCAAGGGAATATATTAGGGTAGGGTTAAAATGTGCTGTGTTGTTGAATACTGTCAAATCAAAAAACTTCAATATGCAGTCCTCTGATGCTACTGTGCCCTATACAGGATGAAAACAAAAAATGATAATCGTATAAGCAAAGCCCTATGTAGATGAAACCAGTACCTATAACTTTTAAACTTATATTAGAATTGAATTACTTAAATG